TCCTGTTCCTGTGCAAGAAATGTATCCTATTGGCTGTAGTCAGACTCCCATGGGGCCATGTGGGATCATATTTGTTTGAATCAAGTTTGGTTGAAGCCTGGAGGTGATGCAATGTCCCCAGATGATTGTGTCATGTGGTGAGCTCTGCTGATAGATAATCCTGTTTTGTCCTGGAGGGTCATATCTTAATCCCATTACCCAGCAGCTGAAGGTCTTTTGTCTCTTGTAGATAGGCTGGCCCAGTCCTTCTTAACGGGCACCAGATATCTGCTGGTGGCAGGGAGCTGAAGCTCTGAGTTTCTGTCTCTCTTAAGATTTCCACTTCTCTTCTAGGGGAAATATAATATTTTGCCTTTTTAAATATTTCTCAAAATATTTCATTCTTCTAGGAGGGGTGACTTCCCTCAGCAGGGATAGGGTTAGACAAACATTTCCATGCTGAAAACAGAGCAATTATTAAACCAGTTTCTAGGAACACAGTGCATTATCTAAATTTTCTATCTAAATATAAAAATATGAAGATTTATATTTAACTTCCAAACCAGCACTTATTAACAACTTTCAGTGACTTACCCAGCATATAACAAAAATTAAAACATCCACAGTATGATTGAAATGACAACAAATAACTCCCCAGCTAAAGGAATAATATAAATGGGTAAAAAACAGAAAAGTGATAGATGACATAATGCTTAAGTTAAGAGAAATGGCTTCATTTCTAATATTTTCCTAAGGAATCAACAATGAGAGCATTAACCTTAATTCCCTCAGGAAATTATTCCAAAACATTGGTGCCAACACAGAAAGGCTTGTAGATTTGGTCTTTAACAGTTTGGAAAAGTGGGACTAAAATAATTTTATCATACAAGAACTAGTGAGTTGGGCTGATTCTAGTGGGAGCTGGCAGTCACTTGCTCTTTAAGATACCCAAGGGCCAAGCCATAATGAGCACCTTAAATTGGACCCAGATAGTATTTGATAACCAGTGCAAGGCCTGCAGAATTGATGTTCCCAGTGCTGGCAGCCTGTGAGTAGATGGGCTATTGCATTTTGGACCAGTTTGTAATTTCCAAGTAGTCTTTGTTGGAAAATTACTGTGAATAATTTCCAGTTTATTCTGAACCCAGTATATCCCGATGTCCAAATCAAATTAAAGCAAATACACATACACCATTCAATTCAGCTAGCAAAAATATATATAACTTCGTCAACTAACATGTACAATTGGCAAAATGAAATTATGGCAAGCAAAAGAGAGAAGTGAGTAACAGCTAATTATTTACATTATATACTGTATATTTATACATCAGAAAGCACAGAACTTTCCAGAACAACTAGAAACAATACTGTGGGTAATTGGCATGGATAGACTGAGAGTGAATGCCTCATTTGTTTTTGTTTTTTTTTAAATTGAGAACAGTTTTCCAGTTATAACAATATCAGAATAGAGAAATTAAGATACCAGCGTCTTTCCTCTGTTTTGCAGAATGAAAGAAACAATCCAACAGTATTTATTTATTAAATGTATTGAATTGTTATGGTGGACAGAGAATGGAAGCAGTGAACTTCCTCCCATATTTGGGCATACCAAGGGTTGTGAATATGTATATGTGTTTTTTTATTTGTGCTGATAAATATTTATCAGCACAAATAAAAAAACACAAATATAACAAAGGCAACAGTAAAAATATTGGGTTTCTGTCGTGATGGACTCTTGTGACGAGCCGAAGGACAGATGATGGATATATATATATATAATATCATATATATATAATATCATATATATATAA